TGCTCTTCCCAAAAGGGCAGTCAGAATTCTTCTGGACAAGTTTTTAGACCAGCTAAAAGTGATACTTGGGAGGAACTCATTTGTTCCCTTGATACCAAAGATCAAATCTGTTATACTTCAGATCTAAATGTCCCCCAACTTCAGAGATGGGGCCTGGCTGAAACAGCAGATCATTGGGGGGTATGAATTAGAAGGTGTATTCTTGGATCTGGCTCCTCACCTTTTTCATCTGTTTCCTGGCTGAGGGTTGAGTACCATTCCTCCACCAGGGCATTTCTGCCCTGGAGCCAGCCCACCACAGACTGAATCCACTGAAACTGTGAGCCAAAACAGGGCTATCCTCCTTTATATTACATGTTTTGGGTAGCAAAAGGAAACTAATACAAAGGCCACACTTCTTGGTTAATTTTCAAAATGCTACATGCTTCCTATTATTCTCCTAAGCTGTTATATACATTGTCTCCTATGCATCTATGGGGGTGGATAAGAAAGATTTTTGAATTAAAACAAAAAATTACTAGGTATCTTCAATAGAAAACTAATTTTTTTCTAGCACACCATTCCAGTTTTTCTGATTCTATGAGCTTGCTTCACCTGTCACTGTCTTTGACTTATTTACAGTTCTCAGTCTGCAGATAACTGATGGCAGTGCAAATGACTCTTGTTGATAGGTAATAAACTTTGTCTGGTGAGTTTCAACTGATTTACCTTTTGCACTGTGGAAGAAGCCAAATTTGCTTCAATTTGACATTAATTTCATCACTCTTCAGTTCTTCTATAGTGTAAGTATAGGTCCTTGAGTGTTCTTTAAGTTAGTTTTACTTCTGCTGATTCCTTCATTAATTAGTGAGTTAAATAAATATATTTGTCAGGATTTCATTTTATACTTATATGAGAATCATAATTTTACCTTTGTAAAAAATATTATTTAAAAAATCCTTTGTTAAGTTCTGACTTTAGATTCTGATCAGAGCACCCAGTATCTACTGCCCAGTCCCAGCAGCTACCCATAAGTGGGTGTTTTCAGGATTTTTCTCCAGCTAATCATTTAACTTTTTGAGAGATTGACTTCCAGTATTTTGCCTGAAAGTGGTTCTTTCCCAAGAAAATGCATATTCAACTTTAATAAAGATGATTAGAGAGTTTGTGATATATCAAATAGTATACAAAACAAACCAGAATGTCTAGGAAATAAAGAATAACTTGCTGTATCTCTGGAGAACTTTATTTCACAATGATTGGGCTGATAGTTTATAAATAGTTTATATTGTTAAATACACCTTATATGAGGATAAGATATATTTAGTTCAAAATTTATTCTATAAATGTTTATTTATATTTATGTATTTGTTTTATTTGGCATTATATACTAGGGACTGAACCAGGGCCTTCATAATAAACTACTTATAAATGTTTATTGAATGTCCATGATCTAACAGGAATTTTGACAGAGTCTGGGGATTCACATGCAAATAAAGTATAATTTCTAATTGAAGAAGCTTATCTGCTACCAAGGGAAGGAGAGGAAAAAGGTGAAGAGGTGGAAAAATGAACTCAAGATTGTTACCTTAGCACAGGGACAAGTGGTAGTGAGCCAAAATAAGTTCTTCATTATGATGCAAAGACTGTGTTATTCTCAGGTATTATAGCTATCTGTACCTTTAAAGCAATCTATTTTAAATATCCCTATAGTGGAGAAGGGGATGAAGGGAGGGCAGGGATAAGGGGAAAAAATGAGAACCAAGACCTTTCATGTAAAGGTACAAGATCCCAATAATGAATGTAACTGTACTGTATACCTAAAATGTACCAATAAACTCAGTAAAAAGAAAAAATATATCCCTACTGAAAGGATAAAATTCCAAACCCTTCCAGATTTGTCTCACCATGATAGACATGCTCCCTGCAACACCTTATGTGCTCTTAATACCAACACCACCAAATGCAGGACACTGACACTTTCAAATGGCTGAGTGCTGAGTTGCAGGACAATAACAAATGATCCTGAGATTGCTTTCAGCATATTTGATTTTATGAACCATAAAATACTTTACCAGTTGAATAGTCTACCAATTGAATTAAATTCTGCTCCTTATAATGCCATGTGAAGCCAAAGGACTTCATAATATTTGAACACTAACATCATTACTGAGTATTTTAATTTTTACTTGTGATAATTATTTTAAATTAAAACTATCTTGAGAAAACTGTGAATACAAAATCTTAGTCCATTTAATCAGTTTATCTTTCTCATGATGATTTTAATTTTACTTTTAATCCTAGGGGAATCCTTAAGACACTTAAGATTCTGTTGTATATTATTTTGTTAGTAAAAGTATTAGATAATTGAAAAGACTGACAAATACAAATAAGTTATAGATTTTTGTTGATATTATTTTTACTTTCAGATATTACACTGGTATAGTTCATATGATTAGGTAAGATAGGTAAGCAGCAATTACAAAATGATAGCAATACTCTAAAATTTGTTTGGTCCTATATATTTACACACACACACACACACACACACACACACACACACACACGATACTTTCAGTTCTCACAATTTGAAAAGTTATTTGAATTTTAAAGACTTATAGATGCAGGACTCGAGAAAGATGTAATTTGCGAAATGCTGTGTAAATGGTATTTTGTACACTCTATCCAGCTCCTCAAATTCAAATGTTCTGTTTTTGCTTCATATTTCTAAACATATGTTAAATACTCTCAAGCCAAATCTGGCTGGCAAGACATTTCTAAGGGTAAGTAAAATACAGAAACTGAATCCAGCTCCTCAAATTCAAATGTTCTGTTTTTGCTTCATATTTCTAAACATATGTTAAATACTCTCAAGCCAAATCTGGCTGGCAAGACATTTCTAAGGGTAAGTAAAATACAGAGGGAGAAACACTAACCATTTTATTCACCTACAGGGTCATTATGCTAAAACTCAGAAGGTCAATGTACTTTCCAAACAGCTCAGTTAAACCTAAGGAAGAAGTTATATTCCTAGAAAGGTCTGGTCAGTGTCAATCAAAGTCACTTCTTCACAAAAATATTCCCTGTTAGCATCTTTCATTTCCTCACATTTATAGAAGAAAGAATTTATTTACTAGCCTTATTAAAGGATTTTTAAATTTTTCTTGCTCACTAAAATATACAAGGAATCACCACTACTCTCAACAAAATCTTAGTATTTTATGTAAGATGGATGTAGTGATACACATCTGTAATCCCAGCACTTCGAAGGCTGAGGCATGAGGAGCTCCGTAAGTTCAAGGCCAGCTTGGGCTATAAGTGAGTTCAAAGGCAGCCAGAACTGCATAGCAATACCCTGTCTAAAAACAACAACCAAGCCCACAAAACAAATATCTACATATGTCTATATATAGATATATATAGATGTATTTACAAATTTCCTTTAAGGCAGTATAAAATATAAAAATAAGCATATTCAGTATTTGCCTCACATTTTTGTCTTCATATATTTTTTTACATAACAGCATAGCAATTTTCATTTTTGAAAATAAGACTTTTTATAACTAAATAGTATTATTTCAGCATAAGGTAATGCCATAATTTATTTTAATGTCCTTCCAATTTTCAGTTATTATTTCACAAATTTTTATAAAAGCAAAATAGCTAAGAGGCTGAGACAGGACAATTGCCAAACTGAAGCCCTGCTTGGCTAACTTAGGAGAGAGACTCTAACTCAAATTTTTTAAAAAATGGCTGAGATATATCTCAGTTTGAAGGTCCTGGGTTCAATCTCCAATTCCCCCCAACCCCAAATTACAATAGCTATATTTTATAAAACTTTTTCTAAAAAACTGATAATGATATTACAACCCATAGTTCCTGTCTAACAAGCTGTTAGTTTTTATAACTATTTTTACCTAGATAGCCCCCAAACCTCATGCTTTCACAAGTAGGGCTTTCAGGAGATGACTGGATCATAGATGTGTGCTATATACATCACTGGATTAGCTCACTGATGAATTTGTAGCTAAATATAATTTGGGAGGTGAAGCCTGTTGGGAGGAGGAGGGTGACTGTGGTGTGCCTTGGAAGGGTCTATCTCTGTAACTCTTCCCTTGGTCCTTCCCGCTCTGCTTCCTGCCTGCCACGCCAAGAGCAATTCTCTGCCACTCCCCTCTGCCAGGCTGCCCTGCCTTGAAGCCAGCTAGCTGTGGACTGAAACCTCCACAAACCGGGAGCCAGTTTAACTTGCAGGAGTTAGGTACAAAATTTATCCCAGCAAAAAAAAGTAACGAAGACATTAGCTTTGCAAATTCCTGTTTTTTGCTTATACGCCACCAGGTTATAATTAAAGTATATACGATTTGTATCTTGAATTTATTTTTAATTTACAATTATAAGCTTTTACTATAACCATTCTGGCACACAGGTTGGAATTTCCATACTTTATCTATTATTTCAGTGCCAAACAATAAATTTGTTTGTCTTTTATTAAAATAACTTCCCAACAAATATTGAAAGTATGTAGTCTTTACATCTGTGCTCGCACAATTATTTCCACACACTAGATTCCTACAAGTAAGATCATTCAGGAGAAAGATGATTAGGCTTTTAGTGTTTTTTTGGACACTGAAGAAAACAATGTGAACATTGAACATGTAGATTTTAAAGTATAAACAGCATCCTAATCTCAGTTTCTTATCAACCCATCTTTTTGGTAACTGTGAAATTCAGAAACACACAAGGTCTAGATTATATTTAAATTAATTATGTTTTCCATAAATTAGTATACCATGGCATATCGGTATTGAGAAAACACTTAAATACATTCACTTTTCTCCCCATTTAAAATGTTTCCATCCACATACCTTTTAAAAATAGTTTAGCTCATTTCTCCCTTTAATCTTAGGAGTTTTAGAAATGCTCCTTGGAATTAGAATGCTTTTATTGGTGTGCCCTGAAGTCCACTTGAGGAGGCAGAGTAATTCTAATACAAGAAGAAAGAAAATACTCCAACTTACCATTTCTAATGCATTTACACGGTCCTGCAAAAAAAAGCATAATATATAATTATAAAAGTAAAACTATAAAAAATTGTTACATGTTTACTCATTTTGCAGGTTTTCTATTTACCTTCTGTTGTAATAATTTATGTTAAAATTGGAAAAAATGCAAACTGCTCAGAATGATCTCTAGAATAGAAATAGCCACAAAAGAATCATTGTATTTTCTTTCTCATTTATCTGATTTTAGGGTTCAATTTAACATAAAATATAAATTCAGGAATAGATTTTAACATTTTTGTACTGTTAAAATTACCTTTAGAGATACAGAAATATTAGATAAACTTGAATATATTAATTTTACTGATATCAAAATGATACATATACTCTCATTAGGCACACAGTAAAAAATGTGATCTCAAAGGAAGGTAAAATTCAGATAAAAGAATAACTTCATTAAGTCAAATTAATACATATATCATTACTGAAAACAAGGCAGAAAAATTTTTAAAAAATCCACCTAGAATCCTATAATTCAGGAGGCTTAGGCATGAGTTCAAGGCCAATCTGGACTACATAGCCAGACCCTGTCTCCAAAAAACGAAACGAACAAAGGGAGCAGGGAGGGATGGGAGGGGAAGAGGACAGAAAAAAATCAAACAAACCAAACCAAAACAAAACAAAAAGAATTAAAATGAGTTGTGTACATATACAAACTCCCCACGATAAATGTACTCATTATGTACTGCAAATATGTACTAATAATTTTTTAAATTCTAAATTTAAATGAAAGCATTCTAAAGATTAAAAAAATGAAAAGGCATTTCTTCTAGGAGGGTCAAGGCCATTTGGCTTTCTTTCCTATTTTATTTATTTATTTATTTTTGTTTTGTTTTGTTTTGTGAGACAAGGTCTCACTAGGTAGTTGAGACTGACCTGGAACTCACTATGTAGCCCAGGTTGGTCTTGAACTCACAGCAATCCGCCTGCCTCAGCCTCCCCAGTGCTGGGATTACACTGGCTCTTTTCTATTATTTTAAAACAATGCATGAAATATGTATCTTTGTTTAACCAAATTGATCATTTATCATAAGAAGTAAAGGGGGTGTGAAAAGGACTCAGCTCAGGTCTCTTGTGGCCCTGCAGAGACTCACCTGCACTTACAAGTGCTTAGGAGTAGAGTAAACCAGACTCTTCCCAGCACTTAAAACAGAAGGCTCATCTCTGAGGCCTTCTGCAACCAGACCTCCACCCTTAGCCTAGGACTGAATTTTGCCTTTCTAGCCTGTAAACTTTTGGCTATGTGGACACGTGTTAAATAAATATACTATGCAAAATCTGCCCAAAGCTTGTAGCAAAAGAATTATTTAGTTGCATTTTTTGGCATACTTGGGAGGTCCTCATTCTTGCCCTGGTAATTTTCATAATATAACTGCTATTTCATTGGTAACTTGTGTACTGTCACATCTGAATGCTTTATAATGAATTCATATGATGCCTCAAGGGAGCTTTGATCTGTTGTCACCAGGCTTCTTATTCACAACACATCTGGAATAAAACTATTTGACAATGCTTTATCATCCCTTGCAGATTGAAGAGAACCTCATTAGCTACCTTACAGAGACATAAACAGCCTCTGGGCAGTTTATATGAACCAACTTGAAAGGCTCAAAATATTTACAACCCCCATTTGGGCTTTATGTTTTCCCTATACTATGGGTTTGTGGGCTGATCTTACTTAGGATTAGCATATTTTAAGAGCCCATGTAGAGCAGGTTTGAAATTGATGACCTCACATGATGTCAAAACAGTAAAACTGAATTAAATTCTAATTCTAAACTTGACATTTGGTGAAGATAAACTGCTATTATTAAAATTTACGTTAAGATTATTTATTTTACTTAAATATTTATTAAATATTAAAAGAAATATGTACATAGCCTGTAAGGTTATGGATTCATACGGTCTAAACAACACGATTTGATAAAAATACAAAGGCTAATAATAATTGAAAAATATAATTCTCCTACTTTTCTATAACCTAGTTCTTTCCAAAGTTGTATTGAGAGCATTCAATTAAAAAAATGAAATGGATACATATTGAAGATATACTCCTAAGTGAAATAAATAAGTCCCATATGTGTAAATACCGAATAGTTTCCCTGGTGTGAATATTCTGCAACAATGCATAAGATTCTAATAAGATTACTGACATTTAGAAATGGGAGGAAAGGAGCTAAAGGTGTAGGGAAGGTGTGATACGTAGGGGAAGAACAAAAAGGGAAAAGAAAAAAATGTGAGAGAATGAAAAGATGAAAATAAAGTGTTTGTAGATGGGGAGGGGAGGAGGGGGTGAAGGGAGGGCAGAG